CACGCCGCAGCGACACGATGCAATCCGTTGCCAGCGACTGGTCGCAGCAGACGGACAGCCAGCCCAACGAGGGGTCGAGCCCGGGAAAGTTCGTACTGAATGGCAACCCGAACGATGTATTCTGGCTTGCATTATATGTATATATAACCAGCATTTCTTGGTTTCAAGCTTGAGCACTATCGATGTGAGCTCTCGGTCTCAGGCTAGAAATTTGTCGCCCGAAGAGAGGGCGAAAATCGAGGTGGCTTGCTTGCAACGGGTCCTGCCTGTGCCGCTTATAAGTTATAGTGTCGTCGCCCCCTAAGGCTTTGACTGGACCCGAAGACATCGATCTGGTCGAACGGAAAAGATTGAACGAAGGGCTGAGGAGGAGGATGAAACACCCCACAGGCCCGCCCTGTAGTGTGTACGATCCCAAGCACTTCCACTATGAAAGCTTGTTGGGAGGACTTCGCAAAGGGCTGGTGGAACAATGGCAAGCAGCTGTTTCGCCGACCGAAAAGCGCCGAAGCAGCAAGGATCCCTACACATATAAGCTAAATACAACCTGAACCCTTCACCTTTAAGCTTCCAGCCCAGGTTCCAGTTCTTGAAAGCATATCTCCTCGACAAGGAGATGAGCTCGATCGAAATCCAACCATATTTCGAGGAGCGACTTATCTCAGAAAGCAAAAGCCTCAAAAACCCGACCCCCACAAAACTCGAGATCCCTAATCCTTAAAAACCCTAAACTCTAAACCTCATGATCACCCCAACCTCTGAAACTTCTGATTGTTGCACATCGATCTGAGGTTGTCGGAGCAAAAGAACACGGAGCACTTCATCGAGCTTCCCCTGAATAAGATCGTCGAACAGTACGGCCACCTCGCTGGGGGCCCCGCCTTCATTGAGTCGATAAAAAAAGGCGAATCCCTGAGATGCTATTATATAAGTTGGTTTGCATGAGTGGGGACTCTCTCTCTCTCTCTCTCTCACGCTTTGTCAATCTCTACATATGTGTCGAGCTGAGACCAAGCCGGACGTGCCCATCCGCAGTCGACGGACGAGAACATGCGAATATACAAAATCTTCAAATGCATGGATTTCAAGAGCCTCCAGATTGCAATTATAATTCAGTCTGAATCTCCAATATTTAGCTGCATGCATGACTTGTTAATCCGAGGTGCCCAGATCAGCAGGGTGGGATCGAAGACGAGTGCATCGGTGAAACCATCGACCAACAAGGCCGAGCGACAGGCCTTGGTTGATTCAGTGGAGAACAAAATCGGCTCAATGAAGAGCCCGGCTGGCTTACCCTCAGAAGTCAAGACGAAGGCCAGACCCAAGCCCAAGAAGGAGACTTGTTGTCGCTGCATCCATCTTGTGTGTGTACATGCAGACCTAGATTCTAGATAGATTCCTCTCTTGTCCAGGAGCTGTCAGCCGAGGAAAAGATGAAAAAGGACTTCGACAGAGGCCACCTGCAGCCCCCAGCCTGCACATAATCAGTTATAAGTCAGTAACATATATTAATTGCAGCTGAGGATCCGAAACATGTCGGACAAAGCAGTGCAATTGGCATCCGCCATCACCTCTGCTGGGATTCTGAACCAGGAGGCTCGCCCACAACACCCCCAAAGCCTACACCCTCAACCAAACCCTAAGCCTGAAAGCTTAAGCCTTATAAGAAACAAACCCCAAACCCTAAACTACCAAACCCCCAGTGTTTTGCTGACCGACAGAAAATGGTGGAGAACCTCGGCAAATGCAGCAAGCATTGCACTGCCATCTACTCGGAGTGGCTCGTACCGATTATATAAGATGCTGCTGTTGCAGGGCCGTGTGCAGGTGCACGCTTAGCCTTGCTACGATCCGAGGATCCAAGAGATGATCTTCAGCTGCAAATCCACGTGGGAATGTGCTGAGGCACTCCATGCATACAAGTATGAGCTGGAGGCTGCCGGCTGCTCACCCTATAATCCTAAACCCTGAACCCCGAACTTTAAATCCCAAACCCTACATCGGTCAGGCCGATCAGAAGCTCCTCACGGATGCCGAAGACATTGTGGATTCCAACAGACGACGCACTTTGGCTTCATTCATGTCTGATTTCTAGGTAGCATGCAACATTTCCCGTCTTGGGTTGGCTCCACTCCTTGCAGGCTTGGCTGCTGAGAAGAGGAAGAGAGAGAAGGAAGAGAAGAAAAAAAACGGGGAAGCAGAAGATGAGGATGAAGAGGAGCAATATGATGAGACCGAGGAAAAGGAAGAGGATGAAGGTGCCGACGAGTGGCCCGACGATGAGCCTGAGCCGCCTGCCAAACGCAAGCGGTGAGTGTCGTGGCTTTCGGAACTACGGGGTTCGCAGGGTCGGAGTGTGAATGGTGTATGATACCGGATCAGGACTTGTGCTCATAACTCAGGGACCGATCACTCGATCCTGCCCTTTGCCATGCTTTTTGCAGGGGTGCTAGGCCCGGGCTTGATGTTCGTTGGCTAGGGCTCCAAACTCACTTTTCAAACCACCGCAAAAGCCAAGCCTAGTGCCTAGCTGAGTTTCAGAGTCTGCTGCTGCAAAGCTCGTGACGAGATCCTCTACGCAGTCAGTGGGCACGAAAAACAATCATGAGTTTAAGTGCCTGCCGCTGCACCATGAAGCACGCTTCGCATGAGCCGCAATGGATCCGATGAACCGTTCCTCAGCTGCTTCAGTGCCGGGGCCTCAACAAAGATTTAACCTGTAAACTCTAAACCTTTAACTTCTTAAGTCGAAAAAAATAAACCCAAAAGCACAAACCCTTTAAGGCCCTAAACCTCGAAACCCAAGACCCTAAAACCTTCATAAGCCTTAAAGCCCAAAACCCAATCGGCTTTGAAGCCCTAAGCCCAACAACTCCGTAGCACCATATAAAACCCAACAACCCTGAACCCCCTATAAAGCCCCACAGCCCCGCACGACGTTTCGAAAGTCCAAAAACCTAAACCCAAAGGCCGAAACCCGTTACGGCCCTAAACCTCGAACCCCTAGACCCTAAAACCTTCATGAAACCCTGAAACCCAAAACCCTGTCGCCTTTGAAGCCCAAAACCCCACAACTCCATAGCACCACATTAAACCCAACAACCCTAAACCGAAGCCGGAGCTGACCCAAGTGTAAAGACTCATGGTTGCTTCGACCGGCCATGTCATCTGCATCCTCGGACCATACTGCAGAGACGCTGCGAAATTACGTTCGAGAGAACACTGAGCAGATTCTGAAGCTTTTGTCTCAGGGTCAGGCCAGGTTCTAGCTGGGGTCAACATGTTGTTGACGGTTATTGAAGTTCGTTTTTTCATTACGGGCTTAACCCAGATCCTTGAAGGTGCCTTTGACGGAGCTAGCTGCGGCTCTGCAAAGACTCTACAAGCTACCTCATGCTTTGGTGCCAGCCGACCTTTTGGATCTGGCGACATCCTTTAGAAATGGTGCAGATAGCAACAGCTGGGGAGTGCTCCGGGTACTGCAACGATGGACCGAGAAGCAACCCTGGCGAAAATGCCTTCCCCTCACTTTCGAGAACCGTAGCCGCATTTATAATCCCACTTGCACGGCTGCATCGTTTGTGTTTGCATTATAATTGTGAAGCTGGCATATAAGGTTCGAGCTCACTGCTCGCTATGCTGATGCACATGGACCTCCGATACCTCGGAAGGTGAAGCATTCGATGTTTCTGCCACACGAACTGTTTGCGACGCTGACCGCAACAGAACACTCCGACCTTCTGTATGGAAGCCTCCAGGAAGCTACTCGGAGCCATTATGTCGGTTCGACGGTACTTGCAATGTTGGCTTATATGCTTGCATTCCAAGGTCCGAGACTACTGGGCCGAGCAGCCCGATCAGAAATGGGTGCAG